ACCAGTGATCGCCCTGCTCCGTGGGCTGTTCCTTTGGATCCACCCTCTCGCTCAGAAGTCGAACATGAGATCGGACTCTTGAAGTTGAACAAAGCCGCGGGACCTGATGACCTTCCTCCAGCCCTCTTCAAATTCGGGGGACCTGCTCTTGTGGATGATTTACACGAGTTACTAGTGAGACTGTGGGAGCAGGAAACTGTCCCAACCGATTGGAGCCGGTCCATCATAGTCCCAATTTTCAAAGGAGGCTCACGATCGGAATGCGGCAGCCATAGAGGAATCAGTCTGATCTCCATCGCCTCCAAATTGCTTGCCTCTGTCATCCTTCACAGACTGATTGGCACTCGTGAAAGCCAGATTCGCGAAGAGCAAGCTGGATTTCGCCGAGGTCGTAGCTGCATTGACCACATCTTCACTTTGCGTCAGTTGTTGGAGCACCGTCACATATATTGGCGGCCCACCGTTGTCGTGTTCCTCGATATCAAAGGTGCATTCGATTCGGTGGATAGACATGCACTTTGGGACTGTCTACTCAGGAAAGGTGTACCTGAGAAATATGTGAACATTATCCGAGCATTATATGCGCGTAGCTCGGGCAGAGTGAGGGCTTACGGCAAGCTGTCGTCGCCCCTTAATATCTCCAGCGGTGTGAGACAAGGATGCCCGCTGTCACCTTTCCTCTTCAACTTCGCTGTTGACGAAGTAATGGAAATCGCGTTTACAGGACACGACTTAGAAGGTGTGGAGCTACTCCCAGGAGAACGACTTCTTGATTTAGAGTATGCTGATGATATTGCCCTGATCTGTGACAGCTCACAAACGTGCCAAGCGGCACTGGACAGATTAGCACTAGCTGTCCGTCACTTCGGGCTTTGCTTCGCACCCTCGAAGTGCAAAGCGTTTCTCCAAGATTGGTCTGGACCGCCTCCTACGCTCACCCTTGGTGGGGATCAGCTAGAAGTCGTTCAAAAATTCAACTACCTGGGAAGTTGTATCAGCGCCCGTGGGATTGAAGATGAAATCACGAATCGTATAGCAAAAGCTCGGGGCGCTTTTGCTAACCTTCGCCACTTATGGCGCCGGCGCGACATCACTCTCACCCTGAAGGGTAGAGTGTACAATGCAGCAGTACGTTCGACCCTACTGTACGGTTGTGAAACCTGGCCGCTTAAAGCAGCGGACCTGAAGAGGCTAGTTACGTTCGACCACCGGTGCCTTCGTAATTTAGTTCACATCTGGTGGGAACACCGCGTGAGCAACGAGCGTGTTCGACGCCTTGTTTATGGCACAGGAAAAGGAACTGAACCGCTCAGCACCGTTATTTCACGCATCAGGCTCCGATGGCTCGGCCACGTGTTACGCATGCCAGCCCACCGACTTCCGCGACGTGTGTTGTTTGCGCGCCGGGGGTGTGGATGGAAGAAGAGGAGGGGTGGCCAAGCGATGACTTGGTCCAGAGGAATGAAGGCCCTCACTTCTGAGCTTGCCTCGGTTGGAGCGTCTCGGCTCCCTGGTTGGGGTCCGAAAGACGATGAACACGTTTGGTTGGACACACTTGCTGATATGGCTAGGAGCCGACCTCAGTGGCGTTCGTGCTGTGAGTTTCTTTGTCCCACCCCATCCCTCTTAGCCTCCCCCTCCAACCACGATCTCATTATTTAGCTTTATATAATCTTGCATAATATTTTTTTTCTTTTTGGGTGCACAGCAGCCGGCTGGTAGCTTACCGGAACGATGCCCATCCGTTACCGGTAGCTCAGCCAGCTTGCACCAGTTGTTTTTTTTCTCCTTTTTTTCTCTTTGTATTGCGGCACAGTAGCTGAGGTGTTCCCCACCTCTAGCTAACGTGTATGATGATGATGATGAATACTTCAAACGGGATCCCTTCGACACTGGCACACCTACAGTTTCGCAGCTGAGCAAGTGCTCTCAGCGTCTTATCCAGTGTCGGCGTGTCCGCCAATCTCGCGTTCACATTGTTCTGCTTCCGGCCCATTCCCAGTGTGGCTGCGCTTGATGTGCATGTTGACAAGGTGTCTACCTATCTATTACCCACTACCTCGTCTATACTGGCTCTAGGAGACAGTTGGTCGTTGCTTTAGGGGACGGGGTGCACGGTTCTTGTGGCCGTGTTATGATCAAAGAATGGTTCCATGCACTCAGTGTGGAGCGGACTACGGTCCAGCCACCGCTTTGTGTGCGCTTGATTCCCAAATACAGCGTGTTTGTGTTTGCCTGTGAAGAAGTGTGGGCCGGCTCCGTAGATGAAACGTGGCTGCCATCCACGTGCCTCCCGATCTTATTCCTTCGGGTTTACACTGGATATGGGGTATGTGGTTGGAGCTGTGGGTGATGCAACGCAAGCCGCGCATGGTCCCTCTGTAGACGCATGCGCCATGTGGTTGGTCCTATGGAGACCAAACTTACAGACAAATCCAGACACGGATGCATTATATGTTTTAACTCTCTGCTGTTTGTGCACTTTCCGTTCCGCACGCTTTTCCAAGGAATTACTCAAGTAACTTTCGTATCGCCAGTTCACTTTCAGTTATGATTCATGGCAATGGTTTGAAACCACATACTTTTTGTCGGTGACATTTCAACGTTCTCTGCTCAGCTGAAACAGTGCATTTAAATAATGGCCGTGACTCTCACTAGTTTGTCATAGAAAAGTCGTCTCCTACTACGTAACAAGCAGCCTTGTGTATTCGTTACCTTGTACACAACCTCGGTGACTAAGGGTGTTTGCGTTTGTACGTATATTGGCTCAGTAGTTTATGGTTTTGGCTTTGCCATTTGCCCCATTTGTGCTCACTCAATGTTTGTTCTGAACCGCTGCATTGTTCTTATGTGTAGGATCTCTAGCTCGAAACTCTCGAAAGCAAATAGGTAGCTTTTCAATGCCGTATGTTCCAACGTCCGCCATTTCTAGTTGGGTGGAGTATCGCAACTTCTCCCGTGCACGCAACCAAATCCGACTCGTGTAGAGGCACGTTGCACAGGACCCTATCCGCTCAGTCGTCATGACGAATTGAATCAACATGTCACTTCAAAGGCCAAGTCTGCGGCTAGCTCCGTTTCCTCTGCCGACGTTGCCTGAGAATCCCGAGTCCTGCCATTCCTCCGATTGTGTCCGCAATTATGAGAGCAGGTTAACTGATTGCATTAGTCCACCCTTTGGTACGCGACTCGTTGTGTTTCTGGTTGGTTGCTTGAAGAACTTCGTCGTACCCGTCGTAGCTGAATTTGGCGTATGCAACTCCCATAACCACAAGTTGCCTCTGTCCAGAGAATAGTGGCGGGTTTGTATTTCTTAGAAAATCCATCATAAATAGGCTCACGCAGACACCCACATCTGAAATGGCACTTTTCGACCGTTGTATGTTTTTCGGACTTTTCAGTCACATACATCCGCTGGGTCTTGATGGAGCTGAACGCATTGTTTTCAGTTCGTGAGCCACTACGCTATGGGTGACAGCAGTAAGCGTAGCTCTGGTGGCCAGCCTTATTTTCATTTCATTCACCACATGCATGACAAGTGGAGGATGAGCTGCGCTGTCACAGTTGCTGATCAGCAATGGCATTTTGCCGCCTTCACCTTCTCGTCAGAGTAACGTCATGATTTCAGATCCAGAATTATACGTTGGATACGCTCTGGTAACGAGTCCCACTGGCTTGAAACGGCCGTCTATCATCTTACTGGAAGTTTGGTAGCTGTCCGAGTCTGGTTGCGGCTGTGCTCAAACGTTCAGCCTATCCTCTACACCGAGTTGCATTGGATCCAAACTCCCCGATAGAAGCCACACAAATGACCTTAGCATTAGCATAATCTATCATTCGATTCGATCGTAGTGTGCGATCTCAACCTGGTCCAATGAAAAAGGAGCACGGGATGAGTGTGATTGAATTCTGTAGTACTACCGACTTCGTGATCCGCTATTACTGATGTAGCCGTCGACGACTCCGTACTGGATGACGACAAGCACCAACCAGGTTTAGCTTTTTGCAGTGTTATCGGCTGACTACATCGGGGTTTCCACCGACTCGGATCTGTACTGGTCAAAAGTGTTCCCCAGAGACAATCCACTTGCGGTGATTCTCAGCGCATGACCGAACCATGAGAAGCGATTCGAGGTCTATAGACACTAAAGGTGTACCAGATGGCCTGCCGCCTACGCTATATAACGACTGCGTCTCATCCTGCTTTTTTCCCCATTATATGTGCATCAGTTGCCTGACACGGTGGTCTCTTAATGCCTTCACCTCCCTGATCCATTCAATAACACCGGCCGCACTGCACTGTTGTCTACACTCCTCTTTTATTGACTTGGATTGCATCCTGCAGTTTCTATTTCCAGCTGATATTTGAGAAGGCACACGATCCTTAGCAACATTCGCACAGGCGCCTTGACGACGCGAACACCAAACGTTTAATATCTGCAAGTCAAACTAACGCAACTGCCAGTAGTTTTTGTCAACCTTTCCCCTGTGGCATTAGTAGGTGATTTATCCCTTTCTTGCTGTTAAATGATTTCAGTTTCTGTGTTTTATTCACTATATCTGATGGCAGAATTGATATCAACAACATCGCACCGATATCGCTGGGGGTTGGTCATCGACTCCGTTTGCGTACTTATTTGGGAAAGAACATTGCGCTTTATTGAATCTTGTGCTACCCGTTGTGCGTCTGTGCGTGTATTTGTATATACAAACTGCTACATGCAGTCATAACGCCATGGTCTGCTTAGTTAAAAATTAAATTCTATCATTTTCTTATTCGTGTTATTTCGTATATAACTGGCTTCACTATTAGTTGACTTTTCAACTAGATGTGACTAGTCATCTATTCCAAGCTCTTCTCTTTTCATGTGACGTGGTTGGTTGAGAAATTGATCCGCTGCTCTCCATCCCTTCCCCCTCATGGTACTTTCTATACTCTTTTCTGATCCAATCACACGATCAGCTCTCATGCAACGAAAATAGTCTTTCTCTTTTTACAGGATGTCATCTACGCCATTCGAGATACAGCATTCGTGACCAGCGAATACCCTGTCATCATGTCTTTCGAAAACCACTGCAGGTAAGCTGGTCCACTCTGTCAAACGAAAGGCCCACTTGTCATTGTAGTTTACGCTGTTTATTTGTTGTTGAGTAATCATTTCTTTCTTGCAATTTAGCAGGCTCATAGTTGACGCAGAGGACTTATTTTCTTTGAACTTACATTAATGCACCAACTATTTGAATTGATGATTAAAATGCTTGCTCGACCACCACCACCCTCCTCCGTCACAACGAGACTGGACCTTAACGTAGTGTGCCGGTTTGCCTACGTCGTCAATCCATTGAGCTATAATGCGTGCGGCGATTCGGCCTCTTAAGAGCTACTCCTAGCAGGTTGGTCAATGGTTAGACCTCAGACGAACTCAGATTGGCAGTTTGATATGGGATGGCATCCATTCCTGTAAAACCGAATTGTTGCTACATTCGCTGTTTTGCGGATAGGCCTTTGAGCCAAAGGCTTTGGTTGAGGACCCTAATCGTCCTCCTTTCTCGGTCTGGGCACTCTAGCGGTATCTAGGCCCACGTACAACCATGACTACTTCTTCACACTTCAACCATGTCCTGCATTTGCTGTCGCGCAGATTATAATGAGTCACTTTATCTGCTGCATACAGCAGGGCGGATGAGTGAAAACATGCTACTACTGGCGCGTCCTTTCTTTCTTTTCCATCTGTTTCACTTACTCCCCTACCACTCCCCATTACTAGCCTACCTCCTGTAATTCCCAGTTTAATTGACAGCAGTCGCAATGTCACTGGAGTCATACCATCTGCAGCTATGTTCCCGTGCCACCCACTGGACACTAATCGCTGACAGATCCTTATAAGGCCACCATATCCCGCTTCCCTAGCGGTGTTCGACGTTCGCGTCTCAGACAAATACGTCAACATGCTGCACTCGCACCCACGTTAGATACGCTGGGTATTGAAAGGTGTTGTGTGTCGGAAACTACGAGCAATGACCATCACACGGTTGTTGAATTAACTTCACCTGGTTTGTCCTCTCCCCATTGGTTGCACACATCCGGAGTTACTGATGCTGCAACCACTGGTCAAGCCGTATGGGCATCTGCGCAGTGTGTCATTTCAACGCTAATCATTCATCGATTAAACTGTTCCCATTCGTTCGATCCACCAGAGTCCGTATGTGTGTCCGTCAACTCTAGCTGACCATTGATTAGACTGTCTAAACTTATGCGATGTGTTGTCTTTGTGTTGACACAATACATTCTTTGTATTGCTCAAACTGACGTGTTCTACTTTCATGCTCTACGGGCCGAATACTGTGTTCCACTAATTGTTGTGGTACAGTACGGGCCGAGTTGTAACACTGGCAATGGAGATCAATTTCGGATGCCTTTGCTGTAAGCCAGCTTACTCCACCTGAACCGGTTTGGAAGGATGCATATTTTAGACCAACTTTAGCGCTTTGGATTCGCTGGAAGCGGACCTTCTGCGATAACCTTGAACTATTCTCAGTAACAAATTCTCACATTAATCGTACCGAAGCACAGTCTGTCAAACTCCTAAGGCAGCATCTTGGGGCAGAAGGTCAAAGGCATTTTGATGCGCTGCGTTTGTACGAAAACACTTCTTTGTCTAACCGTCTTACTGCACTCAATCGCCTTTGGGGGCCGCGGCGTCATGTCTTCACGGTACGCCTGAATTTTCCCCAGTTACGACAGGAAGAGGAAGAAGGTGTTAATGAATTCATCCGCCGTATACAACAACCCCTTCCAGACTGCTGTTATAATGAAATTCCACCTACGAAGTTTGAAGAGACAATGGCCATCCAGTGTCTTTTGGTTGGTATCCGGGACGGTAAAGCCAGTAAACGTTTACTTTCGGAAGACGAGACCAAACTTAATTTGGAGACAGCATGTGCACCGGTCAGGCAGCGCGAGAACTTGGTCCAACATTTGGTTCACTATCGGAATGATTCTCTTCCCGATGCAGTTCTATCTGTTGAATCGCTTCCTCAACTAACCGTTACACGTTCTTTTACTTGCTACCGATGCGGTGAAAGGCATGAAAACGCTGCTGCCTCTAAACATAAACAATTTACCTGTCACAAGTGCAGCAAAGTTGGACATCTTGCACTCGTATGCCGTTGGACGGTTTACCAGCGATCGGTACTCTGCCCTGCGCAAAATGCTGTTCGTTCTGTGGAAATCTTTGATGAGCCCATATCGTACTACCCCATCTCGTATCATGGGGATACCCCCATATACTGTGGAGTTGAACATAGGGTGCCAGCGATTGCGCTTGGAAATCGACACCGGGTCGTCAGTCACCTTGATCAACAATCGAACATTGCCTTATCTGGTTCTGACATCGACTCAGTCTACGTTACGTTCTTACACGGAAGCGTTCGATGTGTTGTGTGTGATGTGGGGGTAAATCATAGAAGCGATACCTTGACTGTTCCATTATTCATAGTTAACACCGACGGGCCGAACCTGCTTGGGAGACTTTGGTTGAAACACATGCCGGGAATACTTCCAAATCCCAAAAAGGTGGTCCGCATTCCCGTTTTGCCTTCGCTTTTGAAAGCTTTTGCCATTGTTTTTGATGCAAATCTGTCCGAGAAATTACGTGATTTCCAAGCTCGTTTCAACGTCTTGCCAGGTACGCAACCCAACTTTTTCACAGCACGGCACTTGTCTTTTGCGATCCGTCCGAAGGTAGCGTCGGAGCTTAAGCGCCTTCAAAAAGACGGAATAGTGTCCCCTGTACGCCACTTATCCTGGGCTGCATCGATCGTTCCGATACAAAATCCAGATGGCTCGATTCGCATTTGTGGTGATTACAATCTAACGGCTAGTCAATCGACGACTACGGAACACTATCATATTACACGAATGGATGACCTCTATGCAACCTTGTTGGGTGGACAAAATTCTCCAAACTTTATCTGAGCCACGCTTATTTACAAATGGAGCTTTATGAATCTGCTAAAGAAGTTACGACTATCGATATGCACTTAGGGTTGTTTCACTATAACCGGTTACCGTTCGGAATACACTCTGCACCGGCGATTTTTCAGAGGATTGTAGACAATTTAGTGAAAGTTATACCTAGAGTGTGCTTAATTGGACGATACCTTGGTTACTGACGGTACGGATTACGAGCATCTGACGGCACTCACTGTTGTTTTGAAACGCCTCCAAGAGAGTGAACTTAAGCTCAAAGAATCCAAGTGTGTCTTTCTCCGATAGCGTTGAGTACCTGGGGTTTCGTTTGGACAGACATGGGTTACATCCATTACGGGAGAAAATTCAACCCATTCTCGGTTCGCCGACACCGCGTAACATTCCCGAACTGCAATCATTTCTCGGGATGGTGACTCATTACAGTCGTTTTTTCCCAATCTAGCAACTACCCTCGCACCATTGTATGCGTTGCTACGTAAGAATACCCGATGGCTGTGATCACCATAACAATAAAATCCTTATGCTGCTGTCAAACTAGCTATATGTAAGTCTCATTTCCTGGTACAATTTGACCCAAAGAGGCCGATTACTCTCCGATGCGACGCATCACCCACACGTCTCGGAGTCGTCCTATCTCACAAAATGGATGACATGACCGAACGACCTATAGCTTTTGCTTCCAAGAGCTTGGCACCGGTGGAGAGGAATTACACCCAGCTGGACAAGGAAACCTTAGCTGTAATCTTTGGGATCAAGCAATTTCGCCAATACCTTTGTGGAGGAAAGTTCAAAATTTCGCAAGGCCACAATCCGTTATTAACTTTGATGAGTTAGAAAAAGGGGCATCAACCAGTTGGCGTCCCTTCGTATGCAACTTTGGGCTTTATTGATTTCGGCCTACAACTACAATATCTCGTATGTTCCTGGGACAGCGAATGGAGTCCCCGACATTCTGAGCCACTTACCATTAAGTCAGTTACCCGATTGCGTATTGAAACCCGCTGAACTGGTTAATTTTTTCATCATTAAGAGGGAAATCCGGTGCTATGCTTCGATATCCGTCATGAAGCCGAACGGGACATACTACTTGTCAGGGTCGAGCGTTTAGTATCCCAGGAATGGCCTGATAAACGTGAGCCGCAACTGCTACCATACTTTACTTTACGCTTCGAGCTTAGTCTTAAAGATAGACGTCTACTCTGAGGATCCATAGCGCTCATGCCACCCCGATTGCGTCCAAATGTTCTACAAGAGCTGCACGAAACTCGGGAATAACGAGGATTAATGGACTTGCGCGATCCTATGTGTGGCCACTCAATATTGACAGGGACCTTGAAGAGTTAATCCGACACCGCGACGTTTGTCAAAACACACAAAGAAGCGCCACTCCGTCAATGGAAATGGCTCCATAAACTATGGGGGCGCATTCTTACTGACTTCTTCGGCCCACTCGACGGAACATGTCTCTTCTCTTGATCGACACTTACGCTAACTAGATCAAAATTTCTTCGCTAACACGAGCCACGTCTGAAATTTGATTTTATGCATGCGAACGTGCTTCACAACCTTCGGTATACCGCACGCGTTGGTGACAAACAATGTCTCGGTGTTTACTAGTTAATAGTTTCAGGAGTTTCTGAAAAATAACGACATATGTCATGTGAAGTCGGCCCCATACCACCCAGCGTCTAATGGCTTGGCTGAAAGAAGGGTCCAAACGGTCAGGAACGGGCTTCAAACAAGATTAGACAAATTCATTTTTGGTTATCGCTCCACACCGAACAACCGACTGGTAAGAGCCCCGGTGAACTAATGTTTGAGCAGAGGTTAAGGACATGATTAGACTTGCTGTTTCCTGATCGGAGGCTGTGTCGAGGCCAGACGAGATAAGTCTAAAGTCGAGTATGATCGGAGTTCGGTCGATCGACAGCTCTTTGAAAATGACCCCGTTTATATCAAATTGCCCAACGATACGTACTGGCAGCCTGGAGATCTGCGCGAAGTTGCGAGCCAATATTTGGAGCTGGCTCTACCAGATGGCGGTGTAGTCATTCGGCACAAGGACCATGTCCGTCCCCTCTCTGTTTCGGTTCCACGAACCGACAAGCCCAATCACTGAGTCGAAAGACGTGCAGAATACTATTGAATCAAAGACTCCGCAATGTCTCCGCTCATGCCGAGTACGCCGACCAGTTGATCGATACCAGGTCAGCTGGTGTCGTTCCAACTAAAGGGAGGAGAAATGTGGCATCTTCGCAGTGTCGCGCTAATCAGTCATCGATTAAACTGTTCCTTTTGGTTGGATCCACCAGAGTCCGTGTGTATGTCCGTCAACTCCAACTAACCATCGATTAGACTGTCTGAACTTATGCGAAGTGTTGTCTTTGTGTCGACACAATACATTCTTTGTATTGCTCAAACTGACGTGTTCTACTTTCGTGCGTTACGTGCCGATTACTGCGTTCTACTAAGTGTTGTTCAGTACGGGCTGAGTTGCAACAGCATTGTTCTCAGCCCCAAAACCGAGTCATTATTGGTTGATTGGATTCCCGTGAACCGCCATTTGTTGCAGTCCTTTTGACGGCATCAAGGTTGATTCACGACGTTGTATAAGACGCCGTTCGTTTGCGTTTTTCGCTTACGCCTCCACCGATTACAGCTCTGATGCTGCGAGTGACGCTTTCTACCACGTATTGAACTCGCTGCGTCTCAGTGTTGCCGATTCAGATACTATAATCCTTGCAACGGATATGAATGTACAACTAGGTCGTCTGTGATCTTCAGAAGCTTTGCTACGTTGTATGGCCTTAACTTCGACCGGATGGACAGCGGCGAACGTCCGTTGCAATTGTGTGCGGAGCACCAGCTGTTTCTTAGTCGCACCGCTTTTAGACCCCGTGGGCGCCGAAGTGTTACTTGGCTTCCTTCTGTAGCCGACCCGCGATGGACCCAATCAAATCACGTTGCAATAAGTTACAGGTGGCGTGGTTCCATCCTGGATTATCACACATTCTGGAGTACTTGCGTCGACTCTGATCATGCCTGGGTACATACGACAACGAAGCATCTGCTCACATGGCTGATGTGCTACTCTTGGTGATGATGGTGATGTTGACCCCTCTCCCTCATCACATGGCAGCAACCCAACACCCGAGCAAACTACCCTTGCTCTTTTGCATTCGGTTCCGTCGACTGGGTGAATTTTATGCTTCCCTCTAGTTACACTTCTTACCGGAACCTCCTCAGTAGATAGATGACCCCAAGAAACGTTGTCACCGCCATACAGCCGCCATTAATTTTAAGCGTGTTACAATACTGCCGGCGCGCTCAAGCCCATACAGGTGCAAATTCTATTTCGGAGTGGCCAAGAAATTGCAACTCGGACTCTGGAACTACTTCACAAAGAATTTGCAAGTGACTACCGACCAACTGTAGTGGTTAGCAGTGTACAGATTTATTTCTGGACGTACCAGCTTACTCACAATGCGTTTGTACTCTTCCTTCGGATCTCTATCGCCCCAGGAGCTCTGTGGCTTCTTCAATATTCCCATCTTTTTCCCCACATCAGTTGCAATTTCGGTGCGGTTCCGCATACCGCAATTCCACTTGCTTGGTTAAGCGTTATCTTTATTTATGTATTTGTATGAGTTATGAGTTTATCAGTTAGGCACGCTCTTTCCGGTGTGTCTAAGCCAAACCAAATCGAGTCAAGTTTGCCTTTTTGCACATTCCTATTGTTCTTGGCAAAAAATAAACACGTTTTCCGTCTCCTCTCTTCTTATTTAGTAAACACCAACAATACAAACTGGCCAAATACTGCGAGGAAATTTTAGGGGACATGCTCCTGACCAAGCCGCTCGATAATTATCCCGTGAGTTTTACTTTTTAATTTCGATATGCAATTTTTTTACTTCGCTCCCTATTACACAGATCCCAAGTTCGTTCTCTTAACCTCGGAGTAGCAAGCGTTTGTTCCCCAAGTTATATCATTTGGGAAAATGCAGCGCCAGCCGCTTTTTTTTCAAACCTTAGCGACTGCAGTTGAGCTATCACGATCAAATTGTATGCCTCCCTCGATGTGCACATTATTCCCCTTATTCTATCACTGAATTAAATCACCCAGTATAACAGTTGTGTAGAATGAAACACTTCCTGCTCTGTATCACCTTTCAATATCATATGTCCCGACTCTAGCTGACCTCCGTCCTGCGCAGATGCACCTGAGCATACTGAAGTTAAAAACAATCTGTGCTTCCTCAGCGTTTATTTCCGCTCTTTTTTACCATACGTCCTTTCGAACCAATCAAACGCTTTAGGCATCTAACATACCTGCTTACCGCTAGATGCATCACATTAGTTGTGCTTACTTAGGAACAACTAATACTGTTCTCTTGGAGTCCACCTTGTCACACAGATAAGTACACAGGTAGTTTCAAACCGGTGCACCCTGACGGATATCGTCCAACCATTTGAACCGGGAGGAGAATTTTGGGCGCCTGCTGCACGCATCATTCTGTCAGTTTTTTATTCATCATATCTCTGGAAATTGTGCTCAGAGTGCCACTCCTGGCTCCTGGAAACTAGCATCTTAATTGCTGCTTTTCCTCCAATGTGTTTCATTACCGAGATGTTTAGCTGATTGCGTTTCTCAATGAGGCTATTTCAGCAACGCGAACGCGATTTTCCTGTGGACACTGACTCACTCCCATTCATGTTGACCACAATTCCAGACTGAGCACTTTGAAGAGCAATTCACTTCGTGCATCAGGATTGCTAAATGAGTTTCGTGAACCTATATAGGACTTTGGCTTAACAAACCCGATTATCGAGGTGATCCGACGCGAACTCGTGTTTCTTCCACTGTTGCTGCTGTTGGACGGCGGTGAATTATTAGTGACTTCCAACTTACTCTATTTGGCGCAGATAATAAGTGACGTACGATTTTCGGTTTCTACCTTCAAGCCCTTGCACATGTGCCGAAGCTCTTCTTTTGAAAATCATCGAGGTGCGGACCATATCTATTTTTCCTCCAGACGGTCAAGGTGCGCCGCGATGCGGCGCTTAACTGATCTTCGCACGAGACTCTTTGGAAAAACTAAGACTGGATTCCACCTTGCTCGATGCTGTATTGATTAACTTTTTACCTTACTATCATAAAGCATATGTAGGGCGACTCACATGGCTACTTAATAGTCTACGAAAGCTCTACTTCTTTCTTTTCCATTATTCTCGCAGTGCCCATGAACCATACCCTACTGCGTTCGTCCACTGCTTTTAGAGTAAAGGTTCTTCTAGTTTCCTGACTGCCCAACTTAGAGTGTACTGACGACTTGTCTCTCTGTGGATCGAGCCGACAAGCTATGCTTTGTACACCTGTATGGGGGCATTTTCAGAAATGTACGCTAACGCTTTGGATAGACTGCGGCATAGCACTGGTGTGGGAAAAATACGAAGTAATGAAGAAGACCAAAAAGTACATTTTCAATGAATCAAACGTTCTTGCAATTGATGCATCATTGTTTTCGTGTCGACTATTAAGCAAACCAGATAAAGCAAGCAGAAGCTACGATACGAAAAGCTACGGGAAAATAACAATTTAAATTTCGACCACTTAGAAGAACTAGATGCTGTACTTTCTAGAACAGTATGTAAATGGTGTGAGTGATTTCCAAAATCCTGGATGATCAGTTAAGGCGCCCCCCGAAACGCTTGCTCTCCGTAAAATCCACGAAGGATTTTGTGCTTAATCCAGATTTTGGTTAAGTAAATGTGCGAGCAAACAAGAAGTGCATAATCCGTGGAAAATACTATGGAGACATCAGAAACAAAAACTAGCGACCAAGTTTGTTATCAGGGCTTTATCGGAGACTAATACAACTACAATAAAACTAGCTAGAACGGACACAATGGGTTTAACTTCGGTGAGTCACTAAGGCAAAGTAACCAATCAATAAGTCTACGTGTTTGTTTTGGTTGAGGTGAAGTCACGTGAAGTTGCTTGACCACCATTGGTAGTCGTGTTGATCAGAGGCCAAGGCAGGGTTAAAGTATGGATATGCAAATGGGTCCGGGTTATAAAGCCGTATTACGGTCGCCTCTGCTGCCGACAGTAGGCAGCATCTGACTGCCCGTCTGTAACGTCCGGGGACACAGTAGCTCGGTGTGAATGCGTCATGCGAATTGATTTGATGGTCGGAATCTCCACTTGAGACAATACTGCACCCGTTACCTTCTTCCTCGCACCGCTGTACTGCTAAGCCGAGCAGTGTTCTCGAGCCCTAACGGACAGTCAACTGGTCGTTTTCCCAATATACCTTGCTCGACACGAGCAAGAGAAATTGTGCACATGGAAGGAGGTCTGCGACCGAGGTATCCTGACTTTAAGTTGTTGGCACACAATCGGTGTCGATGTGAAGCTTACGCGCAGATTAGAGGCAAAATACGTTCTCTCTGTTGCTAAGGAAGGTCTTCGAGTGGTCCGTTCCGCTATCGCGTCACCCTTAAATGGTAACGATATCACCCGTTTCTCCGCGGAAACGGGTTCGAGCTTTTGTACTTGCGGTTCCATGTGCCTCTGAATGAATTTTTCAGGGTAGCCATTGCGCTCCAGTATGCTTCGTATAAAGCTCAGCTCATCTACAAGCGTATCATTTGTACATATCCTTCCTCTACTCTCTCCGTTAGGCAATAGACAAGGTTCATGTTTTGACTTATCGGAACGAAACTAGCGAAATGAATGTATTGTCCATTTCAGGTTTCCTTTCTGTTCACCCTCCTCCGCATTGACCCGTCTGATGCCCTGTTGATTTGGACATCTAAAAATGCCAACGAGTCGTTACGTTCTAGCTCGATAGCGAAAGTTATGTTACTATGTGCAGTCAAAGTGGGCCAATAGAGCATCGGCGCACATTCCATTATCTACAATACAAAATATGTCGTCTACATATCGACCGTAATAAACCAAACTGTTGATGGCTTCGTTCAGCTGGTTGCACACCAATTTGCTCAGGAAGACGTGTGCGAGCAACGATCCTAATGGTGAACCCATTGCCATCCCGTCTATTTGTCGATAAAGCATTCCATTAAACTGAAACTGAATGTTTCTCGTACACATGAGTAACAGTTGTCTCAGCCGGTCTGGGCGGATACCAACGTCGATGTTGCGCAGCTGGATGAACTCGCACAGATAGTCTATGGTCTCCTCCAATGGAACATTGGGAAAAAGATGCACCATATCTAAGGAAAACATCTCTCGACCGGCTAGCTCAAGTTGTCCCACTGAGTCAAGAAAATCAAAGGTGTCCTTGAGACTGTATCTTGTTAAGCTGTCTTGACTAATTCCAGTCGTTGGACGAGCCACGGCGGTTGAATGATACGGCGAGTTACACTTGTCTAGTTAGCGAACTTAGTGGTAGTCCTTCCTTGTGAACTTTAGGCAGGCTATACCATCTTGGAATCCCTGTCCAACTCGGTCTGGTGTACCCATATTTATCTGAGTCGATTACATTCTCCTGCATTAACCAACTCAGGAATTTCGTTATGGATCTCTCCATTGACTGTGTCTTGTCATTCTCATTATCCACTCTACGAAATTTTGACCCGTCAGAAAGAATGGCATACATCCTGCTGATGTAGTTTGATCTGTTCATCAGAAAGATCACAGCTCCTTTATTTAATCTAGACACGACTACATAATCCTTTAGCTTGAGTTCGTTAGAGGCGTCTAGATGCACCTGCTTCAGTAAATGCTTCGCACACGGTTTATTAGTTAGGTACACGTAGCACGCGTTAACCATTGTGGACTTATACTGCTCAGCTGCTACTGCTGATGACGGCGCAAGCGTATCTTCTTGTGAATAAAGATTCTCAAATCGGACCTCTAAATCTAGCTGTTTAAGATACCTACATGTACAAGAGAATTTCGGGCCGAGTTAAAGAGTTTCAAATAAAACTTTGTCTAATTGTAATGAGAAATTGTGAACGCAACTCTCAGGGTCAGGAGGAAATAAGTTCTGTGACTTACCCACAATGAGTTGTTTCTGCAGTGAGGACACTCGTATATTCACATGTCATGCACAATCCGCTGAACGCATGATTCGAACGCTTCGTATTCCTTAACAGCTAGTTGCCCAAAAAACACAAGGAAGTGCGACAACTAAGTCCGCTACTAGACAAGTGTAACTCGCCGTATCATTCAACCGCCGTGGCTCGTCCAACGACTGGAATTAGTCAAGACAGCTTAACAAGATACAGTCTCAAGGACACCTTTGATTTTCTTGACTCAGTGGGACAACTTGAGCTAGCCGGTCGAGAGATGTTTTCCTTAGATATGGTGCATCTTTTTCCCAATGTTCCAATGGGGGAGACCATAGACTATCTGTGCGAGTTCATCCAGCTGCGCAACATCGACGTTGGTATCCGCCCAGACCGGCTGAGACAACTGTTACTCATGTGTACGAGAAACATTCAGTTTCAGTTTAATGGAATGCTTTATCGACAAATAGACGGGATGGCAATGGGTTCACCATTAGGATCGTTGCTCGCACACGTCTTCCTGAGCAAATTGGTGTGCAACCAGCTGAACGAAGCCATCAACAGTTTGGTTTATTACGGTCGATATGTAGACGACATATTTTGTATTGTAGATAATGGAATGTGCGCCGATGATCTATTGGCCCACTTTGACTGCACATAGTAACATAACTTTCGCTATCGAGCTAGAACGTAACGACTCGTTGGCATTTTTAGATGTCCAAATCAACAGGGCATCAGACGGGTCAATACGGAGGAGGGTGAACAGAAAGGAAACCTGAAATGGA